CCTTGTTTTTTTATTTTTTTTTCATTAAATTCGATAACTGCATTGAACGCTTGTGATTGACTACATAATGTTTGCTTTTTAACTTTCCGTCGCTGACACTGTCTTTCGAACATTGTGCCTCGCCTCTATAATACAATACAAGTTTTATATTTAAATATTTAATGTTTTGTTTTTGAATTTTGAGTTTCCACAACTCGTAACTTTTAACATTAAACAATTTGCAATTGCCTTAGCCAACATGCATTTTAGCTATATTTAATTATTGCATTTAATACAAATTTGTTTGACAAAAGTAAGGTTGAAGGCCTTGCAACTTTTTCCGCATCTACAAATATCCAACTTTATTTTTTTTCTATTAATTATTAATTTTGTTTAAGATTGCGCGCAAAAATTGTTTATAGTTTGCAAGTAAAGTACTTTTTTGTGCTGGTCGCGTGCAAAAGTTATAGTTGTAACAGTGTGTGCTCACATACATATTCATACGTATGTATGTATAAACGTAGGCTGCGCTATGAAAAATTTGTCGTGTAAACCAATTGTAACATGAGTTTCCTGGCAAGTCTGTAGTTTCAAATTAAGCAGGGCAAATAAGAGAAACTATTAAGTTTAGAGCACTGATGGGCAATGTCTTGCCCGCGGGCAAAGCTCCTTTAAGCTTCCTTTACATTTTGTATAGGCGCGTGCAGAGTTAAAGCTCTCTCTGCTCATCGCAGGTTTAGAGAAATAAACCCGAAAGTTTAAGTACAATTTTTCAATATTTCGCCTACTTTGAAAACTTTGGCTGCGTTTATTTATACATTCCGGATAATCCCATATCACTACCGGAATAAATAGAATGCGTGTGAAATATACGTAAACATATCATCAGGAACGTTCTAAAGAATAAGTAAACAAAAAAGTTTATTCCAAACGTTCAGAATGAATAAAGAAATGCAGCCTTTATATTGCGTTTCCCCTAACCCCCAATTGCGCAATTTCGTTGCTCAATTTAAACTTGAAATCGTAACTTGAATCGTGTTTACTCTAATGGTTCTAAATTTCAATACAAATTTTTGACACGTTGAAGCTTTTCATTTCGTTTGATATTTACCTGAGTTTTGGCAACATCAAAATACAAGCAATTTAAATTTTTTTCCTTATTTTGCTTATCAGTTATAAAGTCTGCTTCTTTAAAAACCATTAAAATTTGGCAAAGTTTAGAGCTTCATTAATGCAATAAATAGAAGTTTTCCAATTTCAAGAGAGTAAAGTCCTATGAGAGAAAATATATTCTCTAGCATCCAAGAAATATTTTTTTGTTCATAAAAATTAGTTGTCTGATGCACCTTTTAGAGAGCCTACACTNTCTTTTATTTTGCTTATCAGTTATAAAGTCTGCTTCTTTAAAAACCATTAAAATTTGGCAAAGTTTAGAGCTTCATTAATGCAATAAATAGAAGTTTTCCAATTTCAAGAGAGTAAAGTCCTATGAGAGAAAATATATTCTCTAGCATCCAAGAAATATTTTTTTGTTCATAAAAATTAGTTGTCTGATGCACCTTTTAGAGAGCCTACACTTGTTCAACAATTATTTTTACACACCCACCATAAAACTAGCGGTTTTACGTTCTCTTTCGTAGAACAACGCGTAGAAAAGCTTGCAGCCATTCAAGCCTTTCGCGTAGCACACGCTGTTTTGACCAATTGTCGATCAAAAATGAAACATAAAATAGCTTTCCTTCGACGGTATATCTTTCAGAAACTCAGTTGTCGTGAAAGTTGAGAAAAACTCAAGCTGTAGAGAATCAGGATGGGTAGTGAGAGATCCAGAAGCCTTCATCTCTTCATTGATTCTATTTCTAGGTATACAGGCGGAATCAAATACGAGGCAACACGCTGTCATAACGGGCCAACTAAGTGTGAAATGGGGAAGAAGAACTGAATGAAAGATTGAAATCTTGTTTAAAAGAATTTGTAATTCCGTATCTTCAAAATGTTGGTTGTTCTAAAAAGCNTTGTCATAACGGGCCAACTAAGTGTGAAATGGGGAAGAAGAACTGAATGAAAGATTGAAATCTTGTTCAAAAGAATTTGTAATTCCGTATCTTCAAAATGTTGGTTGTTCTAAAAAGCTCTATCCAAAAAGTATGTCCACTGAAGAGTTTTGCAATTCGAAAGCAATATATTCATCTAGTTGAGTCGTATAGGCAGATAATTTATTCAATAGCGTTAGAAAAATTAAACATTTATAGATTATTCAAAGGCAATATCTTAAAATTTATAGATCACAGCATCTAAATCATGGGTCATACGCTCGGACAAAGTTAAAAATTTGAGACGAGATATCCCTTAAGCTTGCAAATTATAACTACAAAAGTTGGGTGTAAAATTTATAGAGTATACAATGAAGATATTTAAAAATTTATAGACCACTGCATATATGTAAATCATGGGCCATATGCTCGGACAAAGCTATAAATCAGCTATGATCTTAAAGCCAAGTTATAAGCCTATAAAATTATGGCTCTTTGGCGCTTGTGGATTATAGCTTAAAAAAAAATTGTTTCGCTAAAATTCAGCATTGGCCACCACTGAGTTTCTAAAAGCTAGGGACCGCTTTCAGTAGCAAAAAAAAAAAAATTTACAATTTGTGCGCACAAAATATGTACATATTTAGTTAAAAATAAATTAGCAGCGATATAGTGTGTATGTAGATGGATTATATTTCTATAGTATTTTTTTTATAAATAGCTCATAACACTACTATTTTTTGTTTGCTACTACGCATAAATATTTATTAAAAAAAATTTCAAACAACGCTACTAGCATGCATTTAATATGAATAAATATGGCAAATATGGGTTTTTGCTTCAACTACTTACATACTAAGTACTACGAATTCCCTTTTTGTGTCAGATAACTTGTGTGCCGTTTGCTAATTTTTACAAATATTCCCTATAAATACACATAGAGTAGTGCGATAATACATAGTTTATGTCTTTGCTAATTTCCTATAATTTTATGAAATAAAAAAACACTTATTTTTTAACAAACTTTTTTGTAACCACTACTTTTCTTGCAACTATTCAATTTTCCATGCACTAGTTTGTATGCGGACTTCAGCAGATCTCTAAAGTAAGGCTAGCCACTTTTTATGGAAATAAATTTTTTAAAATCTCTTTCTATCGGATATGTGCGAGATTTGCAATTATGGGTCTACTCATTGCATATCTAACATATTTCCTGCCTAAAGATCGACTTATAAATTTTAAATATTGCGTTTGAAATAATTTCCGCACTACTCACTATGTTTTTTTGCTTCAATCAATATAGGTTTTCACCAAATTGAGCAAGTGGCCCGGCACTTGGCAAAAGAGCGCATACTGTTGCTTGAGCTCATCTGTTCTTTTGCCAGAGTGCTAGGCCCTTGCTAAATTTGGTAAATACAAATAATATTTTTTTTGCCACTCGTGCAGCCTGGCAAGCAAATTTAATTAGTTTTTATATTCTTGAAAAGTTATAAAAACAAAATCTCGAATATCAATTAGTAAAATTTTAATAAAAAACTAACATTTTTCATTCAAAATTTGTCGTTTGTGTCGTTTTGGTGTTACATGAATATCTGCTCTGCGCTTGGTCAGATAAAAGTTCTTGCTTTAAAAACGTTGAAAAAGTTTCGTTTTCTCCAATTTGCATGAATTATGAAGGTACATATGTTCATACATTTTTTTTTTTCGAAATAGCGGGAAAGTGTGACGAATTGCGAACAAATTGTTTTGTTAGCGAATACCTGCTGTTGTGGCTGTTTAATGGATTTCTGTAATTAGAAATANAAGCTCTCACTGATAATCGCTGTTTAAAACGGGTTTCGGTAACTGCCACCACTGCCCATCACTGAAGTGAGGGTACAATAAACTCGTCGTGCATACTTTTCTCTGTACCGCTTATTTCTTATTTTTTTACTTTAAACGAATTTCGAATATTAAAATGGATTTAAAATAGTTTATAAAACGTACTTATGTGCATTATTTTTCGGTGGTCGTATACGTGCAAATTTGTGGTGTAAGTCACGTCCTGAGCTTTCAAGCGATTCGAAGTTCCGCAGCAATTCTCATCTGGTACCAAAAGCTTTTGGAATGAATGCTGTGTCTTTCCGACTTATACGACCTACCTTATAGTTTTTTTTCACTCAAAAATATTTTAAATCTAGATTATATTCATAAAATTGATAATATCTTTATTTATACGCATAAAGCTCTACGATATATTATTTTATATATAACAAGCTTGTTTTTTTTTGAATTGATTTCATTAAAGAAGGGTTTCGAGTGCGCCAGCAACCCGAATTCATTTTTTTTTTTGACAAATAGATACTTGTTCCATGAAGATTTAAGAATGGGCGTGATGTCCTATTTTTCCCATTTACGTTAATCGGGGCCTGTATGTTTTAAGGGCGCATCTCTGATTCAGTGTCACTAGATATTTCACTCAAATTTGTAATGTGATTTAATAATGAGCATACGAAAAGTCAAAGCAAATGAAAGTNGCGTGATGTCCTATTTTTCCCATTTACGTTAATCGGGGCATGTATGTTTTAAGGGCGCATCTCTGATTCAGTGTCACTAGATATTTCACTCAAATTTGTAATGTGATTTAATAATGAGCATACGAAAAGTCAAAGCAAATGAAAGTGAGGAAATACATAGAATATAAAGCAAACGTTTTTTCGTCGACTTGATTTAGGAAATTAGAAGCAGCAGCAGCAGCAGCAGCAGCAGCAGCTCGAAGCCACAAAGCCACAAGTCGCAGCAATAATGTTCCTATCGAAAAAACCTTTAAAAAAAGTCTTCAAGCACTTTCCTCAAGTTTGTTTTGAAAAATTACTCGTATATTTTCTCTGCCATTTTTGATAGTTTCGCTGGCATAAGGAACAATTCCACAAAATTTTTCAAAAAAATTCGTCCTTTAAATTAGCAATGAATTATNGTACATAGAATATAAAGCAAACGTTTTTTCGTCGACTTGATTTAGGAAATTAGAAGCAGCAGCAGCAGCAGCAGCAGCAGCTCGAAGCCACAAAGCCACAAGTCGCAGCAATAATGTTCCTATCGAAAAAACCTTTAAAAAAAGTCGTCAAGCACTTTCCTCAAGTTTGTTTTGAAAAATTACTCGTATATTTTCTCTGCCATTTTTGATAGTTTCGCTGGCATAAGGAACAACTCCACAAAATTTTTCAAAAAAATTCGTCCTTTAAATTAGCAATGAATTATAATCGTCGCAGGAATATATGTAAGAAGAAACAAAAATTCTTATTTCTATTTTAAATTAACATCCGAATGAAATTGTTATTTTTTCTGGTTTGCCGATACGTCGCGTGCGCTTTTTTGGCTTTTCACAATTTTTTACTTCTACATACGTACAATATCAACGCCATAAACAACGCGTACATATTAACGTGCATCTATTCTACAGTTACTTTGGGCGATTTTCATCAAAATCCAAATCCAACACAGCAAATAAAAGCTCAACAGAACCGACGCCAAAATTCTGATCCCTTCGAACGTGATCCCTTCAAAATTCAATCGTACAATTTTCGCTACGCCGAACGTCCGTCACATCCGCTAGCGAATTTGGGCAATTCACGCGCCCATCCATCATCGTATCAGCCGCAACAAGCTCATAAAGGCTTTGAGACATTCTTCTACAACTATGACTTCACTCCTTCTGTGCATGACAAAGAAAATCCTCCAACAAACAAATTTCGCCAATTTCGTCGACGAAAATTCCTATTGGATCACCAACAGCAAAATCCGACAACTGCGAGCATGCTCGCTCAGGCAACTCATAGCCGAGAGACGTCGTCGATGTTGTCTTACCCAAACAGATACGAACAATTGCACCCGATTACCAACGACACAACAGGCTGTTATGCCCGCATCGGCACTGAGGCCAGTCAAACAGCATTCGCCACGTCGACCGCTGCGGCCGTTGCAGCTGCAGGAAACCCAGCAGGCGGCTCTGGGCGCGTCAGCATATCGGGCAGTGGATACAGCGAACGTGTACGCGGCGCGGCCGACCATGGTGGGCGGCATTACCAAACACTTGGCTCTGCCACACGTACAAGCAGTATCGGCACAACCGCTGGGCTCCGTTCCGGGGCGCGCGAATACGGCAGCACATCTGCACACATGTCTGCCAACAAGTATGGGCGCTCTAATGGCAACCGAGAATACTTGCGTGCGCTCGCCACCGCACATATTAGCGCGTCGCCAACCAACCAATCAAATTACTCTGGCCGGGAACGTTGCAGCAGGCGCACATCGCTCGACAATGGTCGGCGATTGCGTGCTGAACCGTTGGGTGGCTGCAGTGGCGTTAGACAACAAGGCATTCATAAGCAGCACTCTTTTGGTAGGGCGCATGGTAGCGCAAAGGTTGCTGAATTTCGGGAATTGTCAGGCTCAAGAGCGTCGCCGTCGAAATATGCTCGACANTGGGGCGCGCGAATACGGCAGCACATCTGCACACATGTCTGCCAACAAGTATGGGCGCTATAATGGCAACCGAGAATACTTGCGTGCGCTCGCCACCGCACATATTAGCGCGTCACCAACCAACCAATCAAATTACCCTGGTCGGGAACGTTGCAGCAGGCGCACATCGCTCGAACATGGTCGGCGATTGCGTGCTGAACCGTTGGGTGGCTGCAGTGGCGTTAGACAACAAGGCATTCATAAGCAGCACTCCTTTGGTAGGGCGCATGGTAGCGCAAAGGTCGATGAATTTCGGGAATTGTCAGGCTCAAGAGCGTCGCCGTCGAAATATGCTCGACAGCCTTTACAAAGCGTACACTCAGCTTCCCCGAATCGGGTAACGGCAACGGTGGAGAAAACGGAGGGCGCTTGCTCGGGCTGCCAAATCAATATCAACATCAAAGGCTTGGACTCGACACAACTGGGCGATAATGTGGTGATCAAAATCGAGTCTGATAAAATCACGCCTACTAAAATGACTTCAAAAATAGAGCAAAATACGGCAGCCGGAAATACGTTGAACACCATTTACAACAACACCGATAATGTGCCGCGAAATGACATCGCTTTTGCCAACTTGGTGGAAATCAAACGTAACTCAGAAACGAATCAAAATCTCGATATCAAACCAAAAATGTCCGCACATAACCAAACGCCGCAAGCAGTGTGCAATTCATCGTCAGCATTCTTTGTTATCGATAAACGCCTTTCCAAGTTTGCCATGACTTCAGCCGATGAACGAGCGCAGCGCAAAGATATGTCACGCAGTTCATTACACTCGCGTGTACCGGTGACCCCATCAACTACGCGTGCAATGGGTTTCAACTCGTCTGCCACACTAGTACGCGGGTCGAATAGCAGCGAGGCCATTAACCGTAGCGCGAGTAATGTAAGCGAAGAACGTATGCCGAGCATGGTGCCCTGGTGTTTGGGCACAACCATACGACGCGGGTTTTCGCAGGATGACAATGTCACGACATCATTGCACGCGCATGCGTCCAACCTATTGAAGCACTCGCATCCTCCATACGATGCCACGCTCAGTGATGTGCACAAAAAGCGCCGACACGCTGTGCTTGCCGCCTACAAGCCGTTCTCTCTACAGCGGAAAGCTGAAAATTTCGGTAGTGGCGTTGGTGGCGCGGATAAGGCAAGCAGCACAGCAATGTGGATGGAGAAGCGTAGAAAATCGGCCGGTGCACCGGTAGCAAGCTGGAACGCCGATAACGTACAACAACGCCGATCTCAACATTCGCTGCGTAGCTCAAAAGAAAGCAAGAGCACGCTGAATCCGCATTCTAACTCCCAATTAGAAGTAGGACGTTCGCCCACGATGATCATGCGACGCAGCCATTCGAGCATACGACCGGGACAATTGGCACAGCACGCAGTAACGGACAGTCAGAGTCACGTGACCACGCCACTTAATGTGAATATCAATGTGTTTGCGGAAAAACTTAAATTGTTACGTGTTTAAAAATAACTAAGAACAGCTACCTGACTCAGCGTTAAAGCTGCAACGGTACAATTGAATTTTGAACCATGATCCACAATTCTATCAACACATGCTACGTATGTAC